TGTGATGTTCGTTGACGAGCTCTGTCAAGAGCACTATTAAGACTGATGTTCATTTCTGTAAGGCTGTTCTTAATGCCATCACTCCATATTTTCCGAAGTCTTCCACTCGTTCTATACCCGTTGTAACGTTTTAGTGTGGCTCGCTGTGGCAGATAGTACCAGGGCATTCTTGTTAGGTGTCCAACCCACTTCATTTGTTGTTCTTTGATGACCTGTAAGACTGGCTTTATTCCTAGCATTCGTCTGATTTCATGATTTCGTATTCTGTCTTTCCTTGAAGCTCCTGCAGCTCTTCTAAGACATGCCATCTCTGTTGTCACAATTTTACTTTTCTTGGAGGATGTAAGTGTCCACGTTTGGCATTAATAGTATAGTGTTGGCCAAAAAATAGTTCTACTTGTGTGTCAACAGGGGAGATAGTTGACCCATTAATTGATTAGCTTTGGCACATCTGGAGCTAATTTCTCTGTCCAGTTTTCCGTCGGATGTAAAAATTGCTCCCAAATACTTAAATTCCTCTGTTTGTCTCAGAGTGTTGTTTTTTAATTTAATTTCTAAATTGTCTTTATGTCTTCCTATCATCATTGTCTCTGTCTTCGTAGTGTTTATTTTCATATTATATTCCTCCCCTTTAATGAGGGAAAGTAGGTCAACTTTGTCGAAGACATGAACTGTTCAATGGAGAAATAAATTGCGAGAAAAACAAAACAGAAAAATGTACAGATGGCAATAAAGAAAGGCAAACATTTATATACATAGATACACACACATACATAGCTAACAGTGGGGGAAAATTAAAAAAGACAGAAAGAAATATTGAAAGAAAGAAATACTGAAAGAAAGCAATACGGAAGGAAAGAAAGAAATACTAAAAGAAAGAAACAAATAAATACGGAAAGAAGAAAGAAAGAAAGAAAGAAAGAAAGAAAGAAAGAAAGAAAGAAAGAAAGAAAGAAAGAAAGAAAGAAAGAAAGAAAGAAAGAAAGAAAGAAAGAAGAAGAAAGAAAGAAAGAAAGAAAGAAAGAAAGAAAGAAAGAAAAAAGAAAGAAGAAGAGAAAAGAAAGAAAGAAAGAAATACTGAAGGAAAGAAAGAAGGAAAGAAAGAAAGAAAGAAAGAAAGAAAGAAAGAAAAAAAGAAAGAAAGAAAGAAAGAAAGAAAGAAAAAGAAAGAAAGAAAGAAAGAAAGAAGAAAGAAAAGAAAGAAAAAGAAAGAAAGAAAGAGAAGAAAGAAAAGAAAGAAAGAAAGAAAGAAAGAAAGAAGAAGAAAGAAAGAAAGAAAGAAAAAGAAAAAAAAAGAAAAAGAAAGAAAAAAGAAAGAAAGAAAGAAAGAAAGAAAGAAAGAAAGAAAGAAAGAAAATAAAGAAAGAAAGAAAGAAAGAAAGAAAGAAAAGAAAGAAAGAAAGAAAGAAAGAAAGAAAGAAAGAAAGAAAGAAAGAAAGAAAAGAAAGAAAAAGAAATACTGAAAGAAAGAAAGAAAGAAAAAGAAAAGAAAGAAGAAAGAAAAAGAAAGAAAGAAAGAAGGAAAGAAGGAAAAGAAGGAAAGAAAGAAAGAAAGAAAGAAGAAAAGAAAGAAAGAAAGAAAAAGAAAGAAAGAAAAGAAATAAGAAAAGAAAGAAAGAAAGAAAGAAAGAAGAAAGAAAGAAAAGAAAGAAAGAAAGAAAGAAAGAAAGAAAGAAAGAAAAGAAAGAAAGAAAGAAGAAAGAAAGAAAGAATAAGAAAGAAAGAAAGAAAGAAAAGAAGAAAGAAAGAAAGAAAGAAAGAAAGAAAGAAAAGAAAGAAAAAAAGAAAGAAGAAAGAAAGAAAGAAAGAAAGAAAGAAAGAAAGAAAGAAAGAAAGAAAAGAAAGAAAGAAAAAGAAGAAGAAAGAAAGAAAGAAAGAAAGAAAAAGAAAGAAATAAGAAAAAGAAAGAAAAAAGAAGAAAGAAAGAAAGAAATAAAGAAAGAAAGAAAGAAAGAAAGAAAGAAAGAAAAGAAAGATCCCTGAAAGAAAGAAAGAAAAAAAGAAAAAGAAAGAAAGAAAGAAAGAAAGAAAGAAAGAAAGAAAGAAAGAAAGAAAGAAAGAAGAAAAGAAAGAAAGAAAGAAAAGAAATAAAAGAAAGAAAGAAAAGAAAGAAGAAAAATAAAGAAAGAAAGAAAGAAAGAAAGAAAGAAAGAAAGAAAGAAAGAAAGAAAGAAAGAAAGAAAGAAAGAAAGAAAGAAAGAAAGAAAGAAAGATAGAAAGAAAGAAAGAGAATCTCAGGAGAACTTGTCAATCCTTGCAGGTAACGTGACCCTGTGTTGCGGAGACCAGCAACTTCAGACGATGACGGCGACCAACATCCTGTGTTCACAATTCCCAGCGTATGCCTAGCTTTCGTTGCCAGGCACATCCTGTGTTCACAATTCCCGGCGTATGCCTAGCTTTCGTTGCCAGGCACATCCTGTGTTCACAATTCCCGGCGTATGCCTAGCTTTCGTTGCCAGGCACATCCTGTGTTCACAATTCCCAGCGTATGCCTAGCTTTCGTTGCCAGGCACATCCTGTGTTCACAATTCCCAGCGTATGCCTAGCTTTCGTTGCCAGGCACATCCTGTGTTCACAATTCCCAGCGTATGCCTAGCTTTCGTTGCCAGGCACATCCTGTGTTCACAATTCCCAGCGTATGCCTAGCTTTCGTTGCCAGGCACATCCTGTGTTCACAATTCCCGGCGTATGCCTAGCTTTCGTTGCCAGGCACATCCTGTGTTCACAATCCCGGCGTATGCATAGCTTTCGTTGCCAGGCACATCCTGTGTTCACAATTCCCAGCGTATGCCTAGCTTTCGTTGCCAGGCACATCCTGTGTTCACAATTCCCAGCGTATGCCTAGCTTTCGTTGCCAGGCACATCCTGTGTTCACAATTCCCGGCGTATGCCTAGCTTTCGTTGCCAGGCACATCCTGTGTTCACAATTCCCAGCGTATGCCTAGCTTTCGTTGCCAGGCACATCCCGGTGAATGACAGACATTTCAGTTGCTGGGGGACATTTTACGCTTATTAAAACAACATGGAATCAACCGATTGTGTCTTTTCTTTCTTCTTTCTTTTGTCCATATACTCACCTTGGTGTAACCAGAGAATCTGGCCGGCTTAGTACACTCAGAGGAAAGGCAAAACGGATTTTTAACCAGACTGTGACCGGTACCATCAGTATTGGAACTCTGCGCTGGCTGCTGAAGATGAGGACGGAGCATGCATGGGAATTTCTCGAGTGCTGTGATGGCAATTCTTGACTCATCTCAACTCCACTCAACTTGTCCAAAAACCTGCTCTAAGCCGCCAACCATCGCAGGTCAACAGCTCGTCGGTATCCGAGCTAGGGCACCCTCGGTTGTCCGGTTTGCTGCGATGTTATGTGGAGTCCTAAGGTATCAGTGATTCCTTCAAACCATCTTCTTCTTGGTCGATCCTACTTCTTTGTGTTTCTACTTTAACGCTGTACGCTCTCATTGTTGGCGTCATAAGATTTATTCTCCTAAACATTTTAGTCTTTGCTTTTCAATCAATTTAATTATATGTGTTTTCTTCAAATGTTCATCATACACATAAGGCATCGAGCCCTGCCCTCTCCCGCTGACACGATCACTAGAATCACTCATCAGGTCAGTGTTCTTTTCTCGCCTCGTCAATGTGCGGAGCTATCCCAGTATTTATCTCTTTTTCTTCTCACATCTCCAAAACCACTGACTCTCTACGTCAATGTCTTTCTAATCAATTTACAATTTGTATCTGTCTCAAGTTGGGCTAGAAGTGCTAAATACAACATAGATCCCGTGTGGATTCCATGATCCCATTGTGGGGAAACAAGAATAGACCCACTGTGAACTAATAAGCATGTAGTAAGTGTCGACAAATCAAGGTTTCTTTTAAAGTCGAAATACATCTGTCTGAGAGGTAAAGAACCAACAGCCTGCATACAAAAAATCCATATGTAAAATGGATGTGCACGCAAAATTCAAATTTTGGAACAAAACCAAAGTCCCGGTGTGGACGAAGAACCAAAAGCGTCTATCGGAATTTACAGCCGATTATGAAGAAAAAGAAGAAGAAGAAGAAGAAGAACAACAACAACAACAACAACAACAACAACAACAACAACAAACAACAGAAAAAGAAGAAGAAGAAGAAATACAACATAAAATATGACAAGGAACCTCAAAGGAGGGAACGGAAAAGATGCGAACAGATACAACCGAACGTTTTGACCAAAATCTTGATCAATGGCGTAATAAATACACGAACTTTGTCTGGAAAACTCAACGGGCAAGAAAGACAGCTTCCAAATCATCAAGAAACCAAGAAATATTGCAGTCATCCCCTTTTTATTATATTCTTTGTACTCTATTCAAAAACCACATCTGCGAATTTTGATTTTGGAACATAACATGCTTGATATATAAAATACAATTGCCGCATGAAAAATGACTGCTTGAAAGAAACAGGCCCGCGTGCCCAATTTGTAAACCTTTGGAAATAAAGGTCGTTTGTTCGCTTCCTGCTCGCACTATCTCCTCCATTCTCTATCTCCCCTCTATGTGTGTGGTTTGGTACGCCTTTATTTCGTTGCTTTTGTGGGAACGTACGCATGTCTTAAATATATATATTTAAATACCAGTAGAACGTCTCAGTTTTTTCGTGACTGAGCACCTGAAAGTTGACACAAAGTGCAATGACGTCAGGTGCCTAGCAACAGCAACAACAAATCTCCTTCTAGCATAAGTGAAAGTCACACTGGAGAGTGGTGTCCCCTGATGTCCCAAGATTCCTATCGTCAACGTCGCCATGATCGACGCTTTGACAGGTGCAAAGGTGTTCTGGCTGTAAACAAAGACGAGGGACTTTTTCTGCAGACCAGGCACTCTCTCTTCCTTCCTGTGAGCCTGATCTATCTACTTTTTGGCTCCGTTTATAACAATATTTCTTGTGCTGCCTGTTAGTTTGTTGATAGAGCGGGTCGGCGACGGCAGTAATTAGATTAAGTCATGAGTTCGGAAGCCAAACAACCGTCCTCAAAGAAGAAGGAGGGTTTTCTGCGAAAGCAAGCCAAATCAAAGACAGACTTTGTTACAGAAGAGGAGTTACTAAAAAAGGAATCAGTGACACCGGATGATGTACTCAGACTTCCTAAATGCACAGAAAGTGAGTAATTTCGACTATATGTTAGTTAAGTATCATGATTATGCGGTGTTTTGAACTTGTCTTTGTCTTTGACAACACAAACCAATCATAATCATGAATAATGCATGATGAAGCATTGCATATGGAAACGATGTGGCTGTACTATTTTCCAACTCTTGGGCTGCTGACCGAAAAGTTTTGACCACCCCTGTGACTTCGTGAGTCACATCCAAGATGGCAAACCAAGAGAGAAAATCCTTAATGCCCAATTCATTTAACCTCCTAGACTGTTGTAATTAGTAGTAGTACACCAAGTATCACTGTTACTAACCCTGGTATTTGGTATACCATGCAGGCCTGTGCAGGTAAGGATTAGTAAGTGTCTGTGTGATCTTAAAATGGAGACGAACTAAAACAGGAGCTAATACAACAGAAAAATTTAAATATTACATATTCAGTTATTAATTTTGCAGACAATTCATGCTATTGGTAAAGCTTGCAAAGAGACTGAGCATTTATGAGAAAGAGTGGAGGGCCATTTTCTACTTCTTCTGTGTTTACCCTGAAAAGGGTGGTTGGCATGTTGTGTTTTGGTTTATTGATATCTGTGCCTTTTGGCCCAACATGTCTTATTTCAGCAAATCCTTTAATAGATGCCTTTTTCTGTATGCTTGATAAGGGACTGTGGGTCTATTCTTAGCTCACAGAAAAGCCAGAGTCAGGCCTCAGAAGTGTGGTATCTATCCCAGGTGGTCCAGAGTTTCAATTTTGAGAGCATGCATCTTTCCTGTAACAACATTTGGATGTCAGTTATGGACTGTCTCACAGCTTTTAAAAAAAAAAAACCAGGGTCTTGTAAGCTGAAATGCAATAGAAAGATTCCCAGAATATCAAGGACAAAGAAGAACTGAAATACTGCCTTTTAAAAGAGATTGGCTAATCAATTTCATCTTGCCTCGGAAGCTGAAATATTTTGGCCATATCAAGCGCCACGGCAGAATGGAAAAAATAAAAGCAGAGGACATGGTACCAGGCAGACCAACATGAAGATAGGGACATGATATAAGTGACTGTGGATAAAAAGTGCACAGGCGGGAGAGCTGCCGAGAGACTGCTGAGTTTCTTTCAGGCAGACTATGATGAGAGCCACGATCAGCAAAAGACCTGCTACATGATTATGAGAAAGGTGTTCTGAGTGACAGCAAGGGGCAAAGTTTGCAACCAGACAATACATCTTAAGTGGATGAGTCACAGTTTGATGGTTTATATGTATGCAGAATGGGGAAAGAATTGGCCACCGCAGCAGGCATGGCAGGCCAAGAACCAGGGAACCAAACCTCCAGGTTGACCCAGGGTCCGCTGGGAAGACAACATTGGACAATCCCTGACTGAAAGAGAACTGGAATTGAACAGAGCCAGAAAGAAAACTGTTGATAGAGTTTTGGTGATCTCTCTGGCAAACCTCTACACCCCAAGCTAGAAGAGGAGAAACTAAGTAAATAAGGGTCTGTTCTTTACCCCCAAAAGAATTGACTCTAGAGTTCATGTGAAGGCATTGGGGCCAAATATGGACATTAATTTTATGACAAATTCTCATGCCACTGGTCATCTCATCTGATCTTGATTCTCTTATAGCTTGCAGTGGTGAAGTGAAGTATAATTTATGAGAAAGCGCCCGTTTGTGTGCTCCGTAAATGGTGATACCACTGTTGATGATGCTATATTACACACAGGTGGACCTGAGCTCCATGACCACACAATCAGAATGGTGTTTCTCATCTGTTTCGCCATCTGTGGCTTTGGTATTGCAAAAGCACTTTGTAATTCTATGGTGCCTGGTTGGATCCCAGCTGCAGGCGATTTGGTATCAGCCGCCCAGCATTGGTTTCAAAAGTGGTATCAAGAGCTGACTGTTTAGAAAGCAGTGACAAACTACTGAACACAAAAATTGTCTGGTGAAATCACAAACAGCCAAAAAATGCTGGGGTTGATTTTGCAGCATCTTTTGAAACAGATCCTGTAGGCAGATAAGACAAAAGACCAAGCAAGATAATGTATCCACTTCTATTTTTTTTAAAGTGCCTCTGGAATTACTTCGGCCATGCACTCAGAATAAATAAGACCACACTCTCCCATCAAGCCCTCATATGGACAGCAGAATGAAATAGAAAAGGTGGAAGACCAAGAGAGAATCCTGCGTAAAATCATCATCAGGGACTACTCAGCCTTGGGCCTAATGAACATCCCAAGCAGGTGGCAACAAACCGCCAGACATGGAGAGCTATCATCTGTACCCTATATGCCTGCCACCCTAGTCTCAAAAGGAGAGACTAAGACTAAACTAAGTTTACTCAGTGTCCAAAATGTTGACATAAGGGATCATCACAGGCCAGAAACCTGAGTCTCAGCATAGAAAGATCATTAGTACAATACAACTGGCAGTGATCAGCGGGCCACTTGCTAGACCTCCGCTGGCCACCAGTTGAAAAGCCCTGCTTTAAAGGATACACAGCTAACCAGAGCTAACTAAGAGATGCTACTAAGCAAAACAGACACATCAGATAACAGCCTCTTCAGAGGTCTTTGGTAGTCAGATTCCCTTGAATACTTCCTCCAGGGCACAAAGGTTTCCCACTTGGGGCCTCAACTCATTCAGTACCATGTTAGTCATCCTGTCCTTTATTGTCCCATTTGAAGACTATTGAAAAGCATACTAGACCCTGCATAATCTTGAAGCTCGCACATGCAAAGTAATGCATGACAGCCATCTGATGTGCCAGCGCTAATGGTCCCACACCAGAATCACAGCTCACAGTTGACAGAGCAGTCAGTTATGAAAACTAGCAACATACACACAAAACTGTATCCAAATGTTTTCAACCACCTACTGTTTTGTTGCAGTTAGCAAAACTAAACTTGTGCAGGTATAACAAAAGAAAAACATTTTTCATTAAAGCCATAGCTCACAGTGTTGCACCAAGCGCCCAGCTCAGTAGCTTTTAGACTCCTGGTCCAGAAAGCCCTAAATAATAACCTTTTGGGACATCCTAGATATGAAGACAGAAGGTCTGCCCCCCTCCACCCACCCTTCTTAAATCAGGCTCTAAAAACAACACAGGAAGATTTTATGTTTAATAATTTGGAATATTTCTTTGTTTCCAGAATATCTGTGTCCCCCCGAGGCCAACATCTATGGCATTGACTTCACAAGATTTAAGCTGAGAGATGTCGACTCCAACCAGGTCTTGTTTGAGGTTGCAAAACCACCTCCGTCCTACGATGCTGGTAATCATATTTTTGTTGTGAATGTGTATTATTGAGTCGAGGTAAGAACTGACATCACTATGCTCGAAACATGTGCATAAGCCAGGGCTTTTCAACTGGTAGCCCGCCGGACATATTTTGGCAGGACAAGTGAACTTGCGGATCATTGCTACTTGTATTGTTCAATGGTTCTTCAATGCTGGGGCTAGGTCCTCTTGGCTGGAGGATCCTCAATTTCAGGGTTATGGCCCCTGTGTAAGCTTACTTGAATAGTCCTGTCTTAAGCGCTTTGCTATACTCCCCTCCCCCCTCCCTTTCAGCAGCCAGTGTAGAGCCCCAGTTTCGATGATGCTAGTAGCAGTCTGATTAAATGTTCGTCCAACCTTTTCTCTGAGTGTTAAATGTCGGCCAGCTCCCCTGATCACACGGCGTCCATTCTCACTACCCAGAGACTAGGGGGAATTACTAGCCCTTTCGCTGCTACGTTCCCGGAAATAGTTGTCTGCCCTGTGCTAAGCAATATGAAAAAAAAAGTCTCTGCTGTGCGCAATACTTTTCTATCCTCAAAACGCAAAAGATACATCGGCGGTATGGGCTATATTTTGTACACCTAAAAAATTTTACCCTGGGGAGTTGTGTGATTGGTCCGAGTGGTGACAAGTCAGAGGCACGATGGTGCCCCACAAACTTGACTAACGGAGCTATCACCCATCTGGGGGGGGGGGGGGGGGGTTAATAGGAAGAACTGTTCCCAGTCCGTATCCCAAAATTTGATTGACGAACCTACCACGGCTGCCACTTTAATCATAGTTATTTGTAGTCACCATGTTATTACATACCAAAATAATTAAAAAATTTTTTTAATAATAATACTTGAGTCGTCCGTTGCTGAAAAGTAGCAGAAACTGAAAGGAAAATTTACAATTAATAAAAAAAAAAAAAAAACTTCAAGGGTTGAACACACGACCCTCCGATTCTAAGGCGTACGTGATACCAACTACACTATGCTACCGCTTGACGCATTGCGCTGTGTGAATGGTGATAATGAATGATGTGCGCAAACTATCAATAACGTGTCTAAGCTTGTAGTCTATCGCCGCCTGCATGAGCACTGTTGTCTGAGAAATGTTTGAGATTCTCAACAATAGTAAAAATATGTCCCTCGACATTATTTTACGGGAGTTTTTAGCAAACAGTCTTTGCTCAAGTACTCTATTTTGAGTTTCTCTGTTCTAAGCATTAGCAGACAGCAATAAAACAAAAAAGAGTTCGTCCGAATCTGTGTCTGTCTATCGGGAAAGACGCGAATTTTTAGGGACTTAGCTGTTTGAATTTACAGTAGCAGAAATACAGATAGAGCTGGAGTCATCAAAATTATGCACTACTGGTTTCAAATTATCGCTTTATCAAGATAACTGATCAATTTATTGCCGTTTTGATGGCGCTTCATTATCGTTGCTCTCTGATTCCGACGATGAGGACGTCGGACAGGCAAACAGCTTTTTTTGGGACACGCCGGTTTCAGCAGTCGATACTGATGGCCTAGTCAAATCATCTTGTTCACTGTCAGAAGTACACATTTCAAAGTCATCTTCTCTATCACTTCTTGACAGAAACTCCATCATCATCAACTTTAACAAGTTTTCTTGCCATTTTGTACTAAGTGTAGAATAATCCAAAAGCACAAATATATATCAGGGCACAAAATGCACAGCTCACCGACCACGCTGTCACAAAGCAACGGGATAACGCAGAATGCAGTAAACACACCTTAAACACACCTAAAAGCACGTGCCAGTGCTTTTAATCATATGTAAATGGGTCAGTTCAATCTAAATATAGCTAATGTATATTGCCCTTCAGCCAATAAAATACGAGGTAACAAAAATCTGTAAGAAAAGTCCAAAAACGGCTTGGGATGTAAATAGCACTGGGGGTCAAGAAAAAAAATAACGTCCAAAGACGGGCGTAGCAGCGTACGGGAAATTGGAAAAAGGCGTCCATAGCAGCGAAAGGGCTAGAAGTCCAAGTCCGGGAACTGAACCCAAAATCTCTAGCACTTGAGGTGGACACCATGCCTCGAGACCATGCAGCACCCAGTGGTGCAGAACCAGCCAGTCTATCTGCCTGTTCGTTTCTCAGTTTAATTGCATACGTACCAGTGTACACACAGATTCATGCCTACACAAGGACACAAATACATGGACATACATCCAGGTTGTCCCTACTTTATATTCTCCCATCATAATCAGAGTCACATGCACGTTTGACATTCGTATGCAGGTTTGGTCCCTCCCATGCAACGGCTATCCCAGGGTATCTCTCCTGACTGTTCCCATCTGAAAATGGTTTTGTCTCTTATATTAAATTTGAGTTGAGTTTAGAGAGCCGACATCACAGCACTTTTGGCATTCCCATAAGTGCTGTGTCCTCATCTTCAGCAAATAGTGAAGAGTTCTAACTCCTGTTGTATCAGTAGCATCTGATTGTATGTATCCATCTTGCCTTTCCTCTGAATGTGGAGTGTTGGCCTGATCCCCTGGTCACTGCCCATTGGACCACTCTCTTCAGACTAATAATCGAAGTGCGCCGCTCCACTGTTCACTCACCCTACCTTTACTTCCCAGGATATTGACCTGGTACCCACTCAAGGCTGGGTCAGCTTTGTGTACAGTTATTACAATGTTTTCGTCTTTGCTATCTAAATTTGTATAATTTAGAATTATTGCTTATTCTCTTCTTCTTTCTTGTGTTTCGTTGTTGTAGAAGAAGAAGACCAAGATATAATTGAACCGGAGGAAGATCCAAACTCTGGTAGATTTGTCCGTTACCAGTTTACACCACAATTTTTACGGTTGAAGACAGTTGGGGCCACGTGAGTAACCTTGATTTATTGTGTATTCACTTACACATTTTAGCATCATTACCGATTCAGACCCACCCACACTGGACTACAGGTTACTTTGTAACCATTATGTAATGTCCCGATATAACTGAGCTTTGGCAGAGAACTAAACAAGTTCCAGTGGACCAAGAGGTGAAGAAAAGAGGCTGGTGTTGGATAGGACACATATTGAGAAAACCTGAGAACAATATAACTAGAATATTTTTGCGCTGGAACCCACAATGGCATAAAAATAAAGGAAGACCACCACACACACACAAAAACTCGGAGAAAGGAGCTAGAGAATGAAGTTCAAAAGGTGGGAAGGATGTGAAGAGAGCTGAATGCGATAGTGAAGGAAAGAATGACTTGGCAGGAGTTGGTTGAGGTCTAATGCTCCATTGGGTGTTAGAGGAAAAAAAAAGAAGAGGAATTTAAACTTGCTTTATGGCTATATGGTTGAACAGGGCTTCCTGGATTGGTACCTGTTTGACTCTCATTCTTGAGATGTTGATCCTACAGACTGCAATCCACCAGGAAGTTGACCTGGTCAACAAATGCCTGCAGAAGTCAGATGTGTTGGCTGAAAGGTGCAGTCTGTGCGTGTTATATGTGCATTTGATTTGTCATTTTTTTTTTAGTTCTGTTATTAGGTATGTTATATTTTATGCTGTTATTTTTATCCTAATCAGTATAGTTTATTTTGTTATTGTTTGTCATTTGTGGATTCCAGGGCCCTATTGAGGGGAAAACAAGAATAGACCCACTGCCTCTCCAATTAGCATCTCGTAAGAGTTAACTACTTGGCAGCTTCATTTGAAGTCAAGAGAGCATCTGCCTGAGAGGCAAAGACCAACAGTCTGCACAGAAATAAGTCACATCTGTAAAACCTATGTGCATACAACACTTAAGTTCTGGAACAAGACTACAGTCAAGAAATGGACAGCCAGAACTTGCCAACAACCGGTGAATGTGAAGAAGAAGAAACCACAGTTATTACTTCTGTGGGCTGGCTGTCTTTTGCATTCATTGCGTATGCATGTTACTGTCTTTGCTGAGACTACAGAGCATGTTGAGAAAGGTGAAAACATGCATGCTTCGTACAGAGTGGTTAGCATCATTTCAGAAGTCCCAGGTAGATAGCATCTTTTAGATAGTTTCTCCAGGTCATGCTAGTGTGTTGGGAAATGAGCAAGCAGATAGACTGGCCTGCTCTGCACCACTTAATGAGGAATTGATGTATGACAAGTTAGATATTATGAGGGCCCTTTGTGAGCGAGTGAACAGTGCGGAGGCAGATAAGGAGAATGGCGCTGCGAGGAGTTACCAGCGGATCTGACTGACGCTTAACGCTCAGGGGAAAGATGAGACGGATGTACAGACGGTTACTAGTACCATCGGAATTGGAATTCTTCGCTTGTTGCTGAAGATGGGGACTGAGCACTTATGGGAGTGTCCCAAGTGGGATGATGTTCGATTCTAATTCAACATTTTGAGACTAGTGTCAGTGTTTTCACAGGGGACAGCGAAGGACATAAGCCACGGAGCAACAATGGGATGACCTATCTACTGTGAAGTTGGAACTGTGATGAAATCTTCTTCTTCTTCGCGTTCACCAGCTGTAAATTCTGGTGGAAAGTTCTGGTTGTTTATCCACTGCTGGACGGCTGTCCTGTTCCAGAACCTGAGTGTTGCGTGTGCATCCGTTTTACAGATCTGACTCATTTGTATGCAGACTGCTGGTTCCTTGCCTCTTAGGCAGATGTACTCCGACTTCGAAGGAAGCTCCCAATTAGTCGACTCTTACGACATGCTTTTGGGTAGGCAGTGGATCTATTCTTGTTTTCCCTATAATAGGGCCCCGGAACCCACACGGGGAAGTGATGAAATGATTAACATTGTTGTTATGTTGTACTTTTTTTTTTTTTTTTTTAAATTTCACTTCATAGTTTTTAATTGAAGCTATTGATGTTTTTGTTGTGGGCAATTTGTATTATTGAAGTCATTTTTCTAGTGTCATTTTCAGTATTTATGACATGGTTATTTTAAAATAATAATGTCAATAATAAAAGACCCTTTTCCCATGTCTTTATGCGTATAAGACATTGAAATGACCCCTTTTCATGCATTCAGGCATATAGTTAAAAAAATGGACCTTTTTCCACACCTTCAGCATGTGTATTGGGCATATAGGGCTAGGCCTATCAGCACTTTGTGGGGGATGTGGTCAGGATCAGCTTTACTTCCCAGGACTGTACCTGGTACCCATTTAAGGCTGGGTTGACCTTGGAGCCAAAGGTGTATTGACCTGTATATTATAGACCACAGGTCGACCCAGCCTAAAATGAGTACCAGGATGGCTGTTCTGGGGAAGTAAAGACGGCCGGCGTAATGCTGACTACATTACCCACCTAGTGCCGTTGGTCTGTAAAAATATGAGCGCTCTTCCCATATGCCCGATACGCCTAATAGCGTGAAAAGGGATCTTTACTTTTGTTTTTACTTATAGTTTATAGACCAGTCGGCACTGGGTGGATAATGGGGTCATCATCAGGCTGGCCACCTTTACTTCCCAGAACTTTACCCAGTAGCCATTTAAGGCATGTTTGACTGGTAGCCAAAGTCATTTGTGAAAAAGTCTGACTCGATGCAGTTGTTAGTTAGGTATATTTATTGATGTCACATTTGTTTATATTATTGTTTGTGCTGTGGTAGTACCAGTGTTGTTATTTGTAAGTAGTTTGCCACTTGTCTGCAGCATGTTATTCCAGACTGTTCTGTGTTACAGGGTGGAGTTTGTGGTCGGAGGCAAGCCAGTCAACAAGTTCCGCATGATCGAGAAACACTATTTCCGAGACCGTATACTCAAGTGCTTTGACTTTGAGTTTGGCTTCTGCATCCCTCACAGTCGTAATACGGTGGAACATATATATGAATTTCCTAAACTCAGCGAGGACACCAGTGAGTTGCCTTAATCATTTTATTAGCGTGTCACAGTTGGTCTGTGTTCGTAGCCCAGTGGTTTCCAACCTGGGGGAAGGTGAAAGGGGGGGGGGGGTGTCAAGCAGTTTTAAAATTGTGTACTTGTACTTGCCTTATACGTTTAATAATCAGGATTTTTAGTTTTAGCGATCATGAAAAGAAAACTGTTCTCCAAGTTCTTGTTAACAGTATTTGGTTTTTTCCTTTTACTTACTTACTTAGTCGCTCCTCTTCTACCTTGGGGTGTAGAGGTTTGCCAGAGAGATCACCAGAGGTCTCTATCAGCAGTTTTTTTTCTGGCTTTGTTCTATTCCAGGCCTCTGTCAGTTAGGGATTGTCGGATGTTGTCTTCCCAGCGCACCCTGGGTCATCCTGGAGGTCTGGTTTCCTGGTTCTTAGCCTCCCATGCCTGCCATGGTGGCCGATTTTCTCCCATTCTGCATACATGTCCAAACCATCGTAACTGTGACTGATCCACTCGGGTTAGTAAGGACTGGGTATCAAGATCTTGACGTATTTTCTGATTGCGGACTTTGTCCCTTCTTGTCACTTGGACCACCTTTCTCAGATATCTCATTTCCGAGGCCTGCAGCTGGCTTCTGTGAGCTGTTATGTCTATTTTAAAAAAAAAAATTTTGTTATGCAGGGTGGGGGAGGGGTGTTATATCCAAGGCGGGCATCACCTGAAAAAAAAGTTGGAGACCAAGTTTTAACTTCACAAGTCCCTGAGTGAGTTCTACTGGTACCATTCTTGGATGGAAATAAAATAGACACCAACCTTCTTCTCTTCCACCTTGTACCTCAGCGAAGTGTCAGGGGAGATGTAATGTTCGTTGATGAGCTCTGTCAAGAGCACTGTTAAGATTGATCTTCATTTCTGAAATTCTGTTCTTTGTGACATCACTTGCTGATTCCCTTTTTCTCCATACATTCCCACAACATATTCCTGTCCACTCTGTCAAACGGCTTTTTTCCTGATCTATGAATGTCAACAAACAGGTCTTAACATGTTCTATTGCTCTCTCTGATAGTTGTCTCAATGTATAAATGGCATCTGTGCAACTTCTGTCTTGTTGAAAACACATCTGTGCTTCTGAATGTTAATACTCTATCAATGGTCTTAGCCTTCTTTTGATGATCTTAGCCTACATTTTCCCAGTGTGACTGAGAAGTATATTCCTCTGTAATTAGTACAGTCCCTCTTACTTCCTTTATTTTTCCATGGCGGAACGATGACAGCAGTTTGCCAATCTGATGGTGTTTCTTGATTTTCCCATGCCACCTGGAATATTCTTTTCAACCCTGATGGCCTCAGAAGGTAGATCATCAATGCCTATTGCCTTTAGTCTAGGGGCGGTATGAATGTGGGTATTTCTCTTCTTCTTGGTCCATGGTATTCTGAAAATCCTTCTATCACATTTCAGCTTGGAAATCCTTATTTTCTTCCTTAACAACTTCAAGATAGTCCACAACTCACATCCTTATGTTGCTACAGTAAGTAAAGTAAAGTTCCCTTTTCACGCCTTTCGGCGCATCGGGCATATGGACAGAGCGTCCCATATTTTTACAGACCATCAGCACTCTGTGGGTAATGTGGTCAGCATTACGCCGGCTGTCTTTACTTTCCCAGGACAGCCCATCCTGGTACCCATTTTAGGCTGGGTCGACCTGCGACGTCCCATACCACGACAAAAATCCACGCAGCCTGTAGTGGGTTTCGATCGCGGTATGCTGGCCTACGAGTCGGACTCGCAACGCCTTAGCCACGGACGCCGCATGTTGCTACAGGGAAGATGCATATTTGACTTTTGATTTCTTTGCTGGTGCATAACCATCGACTTTAATGTGGTGTATCCTGCCTAGGTGTCCTATCTCCATATATCATCTCTACTTGTGTCCTTGTGTATCCGTAAATCCTGTGTGTGTACAGACGAGGTGATGTTGACCATAACCTCTCATCGAGTGCCCATAAAGTGTAAGTCTAGTTAGTATCGTATTCCCAGTGCATCACTCGATTAAACCAATGGTCTCCAACCTGAGGGAGGGCGCAAGAAGGTTTCAAGAGGGAAGTCAGGCAGTTTTGAAAATAAACGCATTTGTACTTGTAGTAAGCTGTTATACTTACAGTATATTTTAGTTTGATTGTAGTAAGCTGTTATACTTACAGTATATTTTAGTTTGATTGCAAGTAAAATATTTGTAAAACTATTTTTATTAAACAAAAGGAAAGGGACATTTTTCTTTTTATGAGCAGTTTGTACATCTGCCGTTAAAAATCAAATTAACAGGCGCATTTAATTATAGCTTGATTTGATTTAATTCAAGAACCGACATCACAGCACTCAAGGCATTCCTATAAGTGCTCTGCCCCCATCTTCAGCAGCCAACGAAGAGTTCCGATACTAATGATGCCAGTAGCATCTTAATTAAATGTCCGTCTTGCCTTTCCTCTGAACCTCGAGCATCTGCCAGAACCTCTCGTCATTCCCCCTGCATCAATCTCACCAGACTGTGGTGATCCATCTGCTCCGCCGAACTGTACACCCTTTCCCACAAGGCACTAACAACGTCTGCCTTATCATGCATCAATATTCCACCAAGTTGTGCAGAGCCAGCCAGTTATGTCAGCTTGTTCATTTCCCAACAGACTGGCGTAAAAAAATCCAGACAATACTCCTCACCCGTGTCCTCCGCAGCGAGGCATGCCACTCTTTCTCAGCATGCTTTCTGAGTCAGATACCATTACAATGTGTGAGTTGTGTTCTAACCAGCGGAAAGGACTTGTATTACTTGTGCAGTAATTATGGCTTAAGAACAAATTCTGACCAAAACATGTCTCCTTACTTTCTGTTAATCTCTTTTTAATCGCATTTTTTTTAATGTTGGGGGGGGGGGGGGAGGGTTCTTACCTTATACTCAGTGGGGATCTTGCAGTAAAATCAAGGGGGCGTGGAGGGGTCTTGTCATCTGAAAAGGGGTTATTAACTATTACTTTTATGCAGGTTATGGTCGTTATATGCTGTCCAGATCTTTTTATTTGCATTTGCATGTATATCTTCACATGATCATACATCGTGTCCTCGTTACATATTACATTGTAGATAAGTGTGCATGCTGATTCCTGTTTTCAGTTGAGGAGATGGTACAACACCCGTACGAGACCCGCTCTGACAGCTTTTATTTTGTGGAGGACCGGCTGATCATGCACAACAAAGCGGACTATGCCTACAACGGAGGCATCTCCCCGTCCTAGTGGAGCAGCAGCAGCAGCAGCAGCATCCTTGCTCAACGTTGGCCAGAATCCACTCTCGCAACAACCCTTCATGTTTTGATTCCTTTCACGAGCAGACGTAGCTCTGACCTTGAACTGTTTGTTCATTCTTTATTTATTTGTTTCATCATGTGTGGACTTCATTCCTTTATCCGCCAGAGTTGGATTCCGAGTTTTGTTGACTAGTTCATTCGAGAGTGAAGATTTCTGATAATTTTTTTCCTGGGTGTTTTCGGGGACAGCTATTCTAGAGTGTAATGGCTCTTAAGAATAATCTGTGACGTAAGATCTGTTTTTGGTGACTGTCCCAAAAAATCTGGGGCAAATGGTGACCTTACTCTAACCTAAAATATTGTGTAAATAGTAAATACAATTATCAGAGTTATTGATGTGACAGAAGTTTACACAGAAATATTGTGTAAATAGTAAATACAGTTATCAGAAATAATGTGTAGTTATAGATCTGACACTGTGAACTTAGAAAGCTATGATTATTTTTGGAGTTTCCTCTGGTCATTTGGCTTTATGTCCATAAGTTGATTAAATAAAAGATTACACTAGAAAAAAAAGAACATTAAAAAAGTAAGCTGAATCCCCATATATACAGGGTTATCATTTGCAAGCCATCTGAAATTAGTTTCAAAATTTTGGGAATCAAATGTTACTGCCATTCACACAGTTTGTAGATGACTGAGGGTAATTGGTAAGTTGAAAAGGGGGGGGGGCAATCATAAATCATGTAGAGGTGCCAACAAATGCTGTTTTTTGTTTTTAACTTGAAAAGTCACATAAAGCAGTACACTTATGATCAGCCTACCCCGGGAGGGGCCAACAAATTGATTGGAAATGAACACAAAGTAAAGAAATGTCATTCAGACAGCTTTGCTAGAAGGCAAGACTGTTTACATTGTAGGGGGGGGGGGGGGGGGGGCGCGCTTATATACAGGGCTGCCGATTGGGTTATTTTACTAAAACCCAAGATCTTGAGGAGGCGGAGGAGGCCAGTTGGGTTTTTGCTAAAAGCAAAGAAAATCGGCGGGGGTGGGGGGGGGGGGGGGGGGGGGGGGGGGGGGGGGGGGGGGGGAGGGGGTGGGGGGGGGTGAAGACCAAAGCCTTGACAAAAGCATTGACAGCCCTGCTTCTATATTTTGTGGTCATCTTTTTTTTACCTGATGTATACAACTTTTTCATCTTCTTCAGTAAAGGAGAAGCATATTTTGTTTATTGGATATGCCATGTTTTGTTAAATAATTTGCGTTGAAAACACTAACATCACTTGTGTGTCTACATTTTGAGATTAATCATTCAGAAATCATTTCAGAGAGTACTGTTTTATATTCAAAATGAATTATAAATTGTAATTTTGATTTTCTATACATGATGTATTAAATTTATGACTTTGCCATATTTATAAAATTATGTTAACGTGTCTCGATCACTTTTTTATTTTGTTGTTTTTTTTACTTTTTTAAACATTTTGTTTGATGCATTACATTTTTTGCCATGTCATTTATTGTTGTGTGCAGTTTATGCATATGTTGACATTCCACATGTTTATGACACTTCTGTTTGTTTGAGCACTTGTTTAGATGATGTTTATTGGAAGTTGATAAATTTAGCTACAAAAACATGAAATAATTATGGATTGTTGTTGTCATTATTGTTGGAACTCCTGGTGTTTCAAATTGTTCATTCTTGTGTTGGACTCCTGGCATTTCAAATTGTTCACTCTTGTGTTGGACTCCTGGCGTTTCAAATTGTTCACTCTTGTGTTGGACTCCTGGCGTTTCAAATTGTTCACTCTTGTGTTGGACTCCTGGCGTTTCAAATTGTTCACTCTTGTGTTGGACTCCTTTCGTTTCAAATTGTTCACTCTTGTGTTGAACTCCTGGCGTTTCAAATTGTTCACTCTTGTGTTGGACTCCTGGCATTTCAAATTGTTCACTCTTGTGTTGGACTCTTGGCGTTTCAAATTGTTCACTCTTGTGTTGGACTCCTGGCGTTTCAAATTGTTCACTCTTGTGCAGTCTCAGGTCTGGAGACATATCAGTGGTTTGAGTTGAGTCAAGAATTGACATCACAGCACTCAAGCATTCCCATGCGTGCCCAGTCCTCATAATCATCAGCCAGCGCAGAGTTTGAATACTGATGTATTGTATATAATCAATCAGCGGTTGGATTCTGTCTCCGTAACAGTTAATTTAAATTAAAAAAATTACCTCCCCGGGCGCCTAAAAGTTTTACATGCGGCTACTCAAGGAACCACTTTTGGATTCACATCTGTTCTCTCTGTGTGGGTTCTGGAGCACCATTGGGATGGGGGGGGGAACACCCCTTGACCCCCCCCCCCCCCCCCCCCCCCCAATAAGCATGCTGTAAAAGTTGTCTATTGAGGGTGTCTTTTTCAAGGTCGGAGTGGACTTGTCTGAGAGGTGAGGAACCAACAGTCTGCTTAAAAACAGACTTCATCTGTAAAACACATGTGCACACATAACTTGACTTCTGTAACAAGACTAAAGTCCAGTCATGGACAAACAACCACAGCTTTTCACTTGTTTGATTTATTTATCTACGTTGACAAATTTGTTTTCGAAATATGTAAAGATAAATGAAAGCCGTATAATCAGTAAACATCAACAGAGTGAGACATTGAACGGAATACATTCTCTGGGGCATACAAAATATTTATCAGGTGACTCTTCTCGTGAATCTGTGTGCTCTATCACTGAGGCTTCTGGGAAACTTGGAGTCTTTGTATTTACGAGTAACCTGCACACACCTTCCCCTCCCCCCGCTTTGTTAGTTAATATATTCATATCCGAGCCCCCGAAACATTAGGTAGATGCAAATAGAACCAGCGGTGTTTAACTACACTTTTTTAGAACAGGTCACTGTATCAGTGTTGATACAGCAGCATTTACGGGACGCTGTGACAACTGGAAGTAACTAGTTCTAAGTCCTCTTAGGCGACTGGGTGACAGATATTTCAATCATATTGTAAGATATAACCCTTTTAAAAAAACCATAGGGAAAAAGAAAAAATGAAGGCAAGCAAGCAAAAGGCAGACAGCGATGCAATTTGGAGGATAACATCAAGAGATGGATGAACAGCAGCAAGAAAGAGTGTATTTATCCAGGGAAAAAGGCACACAGTGTTGGAGGTCCATTTCTGCCAACTTTCATTGTGGAGCTGGCACTTTATTGGTGATTAAGTGCCTCTTTGAGTCACTGGGTTTAATTCAAACTGCAATCTCAGATAGGGAAAATTAAAAAAAAAATTTGATTATCCACACAACATATAGGCAGACAGAGGCAAGAAACCCTGAACTGATAACTGAACCGTGCCCAGGCTACAGAACTTTCATGTTAACGTTTGTTAATGACAGTGTGCAGTTCTTCTGCGTTCACCCCTAAAAGTTCTCTTGGCACATTATGTTGTGGTTTACAGCTAGGCTGGGATATCTGCGCCTTTTGGCCCAGCACATCCAATCTCGGCAAAAACTTTATTAGTCTCTTTTCAGGGCATGCGTAAGGGGGAGTAGGTTTTTTTTTTTGTTGCTCCCCAAAATGGGGCAGAGAACTCACATGGGAACAATCTCTGATGGATGGGTTTACTAAAAAGAACCAGCACGTCACCATCAAACAAATGTTGATGGGAAACTATGCAAACATATGGTGTGGGGGGGGGGGGGGTGGGGGGGGGGGGAGACAAGTGTTTTGAACCCAATGAGAAGAAAGAAAAGTTCATGCTTGTAGTGCCCGATCAAGTTGTTGTATCACGGAAGATGGTAGAGTTTTCAAAGAAATCATCACCTGATGTCAGAAAGCAAGTGCACTTATATACCAGTTATCACCATTATTAAGAATCCAGATGTAACCGAATGCGAAGAAACAGATTATAAACAGCATATTCATTCCAACAGCTGCAGATGCCAAACATGGACATTGTCTAAAGCCCCATGTACGCAAAATAGCCACCTGTGAGAAACGCCACCAACCTGACCATCCGAGATCAAGTGAAGGATACTATCAGACAGATTGTTGGAATGACACCTTGTACTGTTGGAATGACACCTTGTACTGTTGAAATGACACCTTGTACTAGATTTATAGAAACAGCAGATCAGGTGGTTTGGCCATCTCATTAGAATGCAGCAAGATCAAATACCATCACAGGCACCACATCTCAGAAGATCAGCTTCAAAAGAAAGGCCACACAAAAAGTATGATCAGCTTCAAGAGAAGGGCCACACAAAAAGTATGATCAGCTTCAAGAGAAGGGCCACACAAAAAGTATGATCAGATTCAAGAGAACGGCCACACAAAAAGTATAATCAGCTTCAAGAGAACGGCCACACAAAAAGTATGATCAGCTTCAAGAGAACGGCCACACAAAAAGTATGATCAGCTTCAAGAGAAGGGCCACACAAAAAGTATGATCAGCTTCAAGAGAACGGCCACACAAAAAGTATGATCAGCTTCAAGAGAACGGCCATACAAAAAGTATGATCAGCTTCAAGAGAACGGCCATACAAAAAGTATGATCAGCTTCAAGAGAACGGCCACACAAAAAGGATGGACCAACAACAAAAGACAATAGCACTTGCCAGTCAGCGTGCACCAGATCGGAAGTTATTCCTCCGCCTGACTATTAATGGCAGAAGTGGTTTATGATGATGATGATGATAATCCAAGCATCTTGGACACACAAGGAAAAATTGTTATAAAACAGACAGATTTGTCTTCAACTGACACTTTTTTTCATCAGGGCAAATTTGGTTGTGCAATATTTTGCTTCTCTTTATTGTGGTTGTAGAAACTGTAAATATGCTAGCATATCATATGCTGCCGTCTTTTTTCTTGCAAACTTAAAATGAGAACATATCAGGGGCAGAGAGAACATATCAGGGGCAGAGAGAACATATCAGGGGCAGAGAGAACATATCAGGGGCAGAGAGAACATATCAGGGGCAGAGAGAACA